ATTCGCCTCTACCGAAACTACAACTACGTCGAGTTTGACTGGGTCATCGGCCCTCTTCCCACTGGCAAGTTCCCCAATGAGCACGGCATAGAGGTGATCACCCGCTACGAGACCACTCTGCAGAATAAGAACATGTTCTACACTGACGCCAATGGTCGGGAGACGATTCGGCGGACGCGTGACTTTCGCCCCACCTGGGAGCTGCAGACGGGACAGCCAGTGGCCAGCAACTACTACCCCGTCACCAGTTGGCTCTTCCTGCGAGACCTGGCCAAGGACCTGCAGATGACAATTCTCACTGATCGATCTCAAGGAGGCAGCAGCATGATGGATGGCACACTCGAGTTGATGCTTCACAGGAGGCTGCTCTTCGATGACGCCTACGGCATGGAGGAGGCACTCAACGAGCCAGGTCAGTTCAGTTATAACTATGAGCTTAAGAGTTCATGTAACATTCTACTCTTTTTTGCAGGTTTCAACTTTGAAGGGCTTGTGGTGCGCGGCAGGCATCGACTGATTGTCGACGGAGTTCAGGAGAGCGTCCGCTTTCTGCGCAAGCTCAGCAAGACTACCTCCTGGACGCCGCTGTACCTCTTCCGAAACACTCCCAAGGTGCACAGTCGCAATCTGGTGACTAATCTCAACTTTGTGGGCACAATGGAGCAGCTGCCCGTCAACATTCACCTTCTCTCGCTGGAGCAGTGGGACGAAAGTCGAATTCTCATTAGGCTAGAGCATTTTTACGAAATCAACGAGGATTTTAAGTACTCAAGGGAGACTGAAGTAAAACTGCATGACCTTTTCTCGACCTTCATCATTGCGGACGTTCGGGAGATGAGCCTCTCAGGCACTGAGTACCTTGAAGAATCGGATGCTAGCAGGATGCGGTGGATCGCCGAATCTAATCCCTATGAGAACTATACCTCAGTTTTTAGTTCTATCTTTACTAAAGGTAGTAGATTTAAATCCTTCTTGTTTATGAAATGCTTTAAAATTGTTTTTACCTTTTGCAGCAGAGTCAAACAGTATCATTCGGGACAGCAACAGCTTCACCATACTAATGAAGCCAATGCAGATTCGCACCTTCCTCGTTTACATTCGACCTCGAAATTAAGCCTAAAAAATTAAAAAATCAAAAAAACAAACATTTTTTGGCGACGACACTGGACGCGGTTTGGTTACGGTTTAGAGTGTGTTTGTGTGTGATAATTTATCTGATATAAAAATGCATTCTTATTACAAGTACATTTTGGCTTATTGTTTTTTTTGTTCAGTGACATTTTGCCTTTTCACTGCGCCTACTTACCTCCCAAACAGTTGTGTTTGTTTTTTTGCTAAACGACAGGCCATTATTCTATCGGTCAACAAAAGACCGATTAGACGGCGCTTTAGCATTTGAATGATATGAGTGCGAGTGAATGTTATTATTGGAACGGGCAGGCTGTGACTGTGCGCATTGACTTGCAGTCCATTTCAGTGAGTGTGGGCAATGTGAAAACCCGACTCTCCTTCAGCTGACCTACTTTAGTGTCTCAGTCTGCCTGCCAGTGGCCATTGCTCTCTCACCTGTAAAGTTGGAAAAGCCCACAAGTGCTGTCTGCAGGCAGAGGCAGCAGTCCCACTGTTGACTGAGATGCTCCATTCGAGCGAGCGAGGAATCCTGGGAGGAATCCAAGTGGCAAATGGCGTTGTTAATTGCTTTGCGGGAGTCGTCGCCTTTGTCGTCTCGCCATTCGGCGGTCACCTCACCTTACAAGAGTGTCGTATAAATAGAAGAAGACAAAGACGATTCCCAAACATAGAAAGGTTAAAAATAAACAGTCACAGTCAGCCACATGGCTGGCCGCTCTTCAGGTGAGAGTGACTGGGAGAGAGTGACTGACTGACTAATTAGAAGGAAACTGATGCGCCCACGAGGACGGTGCTGAATGCAGCCTGAAGTGCAAGTGCTTCCCCTGTACTGTCACTGGTTCCTCCGACCACACTAATGGCGGCGCGTGCGAGCGACTGGGATTTTCCAAACAATACATTACAGCAGGGGCATGACAACAACCCGACCGACAAGAAGATGAAAAAGAAGAAAACAGTGGTGAGCACTGAAACTGCTGGGAAGACTACAGCGAGAGACGACCTATTTCAGGGTGTCAGATCTAAGAGTGAAAGAGAGAAGAGCTCGGAAGAAAACGAGTCTCCCTCGTGTCGCTGTCTCACTGACTGAAGACGGGTCCGTGCTGATCACTGAAAGAGAGAGTACTCGGCGCCTTTCTCCACCTTTCATATAAAAAGAGCATTGTCCACACTTGGCAGAGTCAACAGACGGACAGTGTGTGCAGTGAAGTCAAAGCACTTTCTCCCGAGATATCACTCGAAAATGTCCTTTACAACTTATACTCCCTTTTTACTTGTGCTACTCAGCTCACAGTGCTGGGCTCAGGCTGACCCAACTGCCGCCAACAGTACAACGACAACGACCAGTGCTTCAGCGCCCAATGCCACAACGGAAACACCACTGTACGCCGATGTACAGCAGCGGTCACTGCAGCTAAGTGATCTGCCGCGTCAGGGGCGAATAGTCAACGATGAAAAGATCTCAATCAAAGGCTTCATTCCCATTGTCGGCCTGAGTGAGGACTCGGTGAAGAGCAGTGGGTCGGAGAAGAGTAAGCCAGAGCGAATGGATCTCAGCTACATGGAAAAGTACATGAAGAACATGGCCGCTTCCGCTGCTAACGGTGGCAATGCCGGTGGCGCCCTTCAGCTGGACAGTCTCGGACCGCAGCACGTGGCACAGCCTGAAGATCAGCGCTTCATCGGCGCCGCCCTGCAGGGTTTGCTGGGCAACATGGGCGGCATCCGCAAGTCAGGTTACGGACACAAGTCCTCCATCAATCGCAAAAGTGACTGTGTCTGTGTGCCCTTTTACATGTGCAAGAATGGCTACCTAGTGCAGGCCGGTCAGTCTCAGTCTCCAGTTGATCTCAGCTCAATGTACAACACCATGTACGAGCAACGTAGAGGGGAGGAAGTTGCCGCTGCTGCATCCTCAATGAGCAATGCCTACAAAGCCCCGATTGCAGCTGATGACCAGCCGTACCTTCCCATTAACGAGCGGAGCATTGATAATCTCAATGATGTAAGTAGCCCAGAGGAGCGTTGTTGTTATAACCAATAACCGATTGTTTTAAAATAGACCAAGTTCACCGAAGAGATTCTAGGCCGAATGCTGGGCGGCAAGTCAATGTCCGATGGCTGTGGCCTGTTGCGCACTTGTTGTCAGCGGTCATATCCCAATCAGATGATTCCTAATGACGCCTATGCTTCAAGCGCCGACTTTAGTCAGATGTTGCCCGAGCTGATGGGTCAGGCGATGTACAAGCCAAATGGTCATCACCACCATCATCAGCAGCAGCAACAGCAGATGCCACCACTATCCGGCTCCGGGTATCCAGTGTACAAGCCGAGCAATGCCTACCAGAAACCAGGCGGATTCTACAACCCGGTCATGCGCCCACCACCGTCCTCTGTCATGCAGTCAATGTACTCACCACAACGAGGCGGCTACCGTCCACCAAAGCTGATCAACTCGCCGAGTCACCTTGATCCGTTGATTGAGGCTCCATTGCCTGTTCCAGTGAGAAATGATCCCAGCTACGGAGGTATGGCCGGATTGGGTAGTTTGGGCAACATGAACAGTATGGCGGCCGCTTTTGCCTACGACAAGTGCGGCACCCGACAGTCCATTGGCATCAACGGTCGAGTGCAGAACCTCAACTACCATGAGAGCTCGACTGAATTCGGTGAATTTCCTTGGCAAGTGGCCATCCTCAAGAAACTAGGCCCATCTGATAACCTCTACGTTTGCGGCGGTGCTCTCATTAGCTCCAACTTTATTCTCACTGCTGCGCACTGCATTAAAAAGTAAGTAAATTGAGGAGGGTTTTAAATTCACGTTACTAATAATTTCACTTTAGATTTCAACCAAACGACCTAAAGATCCGCCTTGGTGAGTGGGACGTTCATCGTGAGGACGAGTTCTACCCGTACATTGAGAAAAACGTCGATGAGATCATCGTCCATCCTCACTTTTCCCCGCGCAACCTCGCCAATGACGTGGCCATACTGCAGCTGGACTCGGAGATTGACTTTAGCCAGCATCCGCACATTTCGCCCATCTGCCTGACGGAGCCCTTTGAGGTGCTTGCCGGTCATCGTTGCTACGTCAGTGGCTGGGGAAAGAACTCCTTCGGCACAAAGGGCGAATACCAGAGTGTCCTCATGAAGGTCGATCTGCCCATTATCGACACACGTCACTGCGAGGGCATGCTGCGACGGACAAAACTGGGGCCACACTTTCGCCTGGACCGGTCAATGATCTGCGCTGGTGGAGAGCACGGCAAGGACGCTTGTGAGGGTGACGGAGGCAGTGGACTGGTCTGCGACGTGAACGGCACCTGGAAGGTCGCCGGACTGGTCAGCTGGGGCCTGGGCTGCGGTCAGGCGTCAGTGCCCGGCGTCTACACCAACATTGCCCAGATTCGCCCCTGGGTAGACAAGGTGGTCCTTCCCTACTACGCCGCCGTCATGCAGTCCAAGTCCAGTGAGAAGAACACTGGAAACTTCAATGAACTCATCAGTGAACGAAGTTTGGAGGGCGGGAGAGCCAGTCAAAATGGAACCACTGTGACGGTGACCAACACTTCCTCTTCTAGCAACAGTACCGCACTGTAATTCTCATTTCTATTTATTGATCTGCACTATTTATTCTTTTGTATACTGTTCTCATACTCTTTTCAATATTTTAAATATTCAGACTTTTTTGCCAAAATTAAAACTTTTTTATCTATTTTGATATATCTGTTCGCAATGTACTTTCTATCAGAGAGCAACCACACTGCTTGTTGGTATCTAATCAAACGTTTAGCCAAACACCAGAGGATAAGTAAGCGGTGTAAACGCATCTGAAACACACTCCAGCAGAAAGCATTAACAAACGAGCCAAGATGAGCTCAACTAGCAACAAAAAGTGTCGCTCAGTGTGCATCATCGGCGCCGGAGCAGCTGGTTTTTGTGCACTGCGCCATTTCATCAATCAAGAGGAAGAATTTAGTCCGGTGATTTGCTACGAACAGAGTGCTCAAATTGGCGGCACTTGGAATTACACCGATCAAACTGGAAATGATGAAAATGGATTGCCATTACACACAAGCATGTATCGAGATTTACAGTGAGTAAAAGAACAACAAATGACAACAAATATTAAATTTAACTTTAGCACAAACTTACCCATGCAAATAATGGAGTTTCCCGACTTTCCATGGCGCCAAAAGCAGTCTTTTGTTCATCACAGTAAAGTACTGCAGTATCTGGTCGACTACGCCAAACACTATGGCCTGTTGCCGTACATTCACTTGGAACATCACTTGACTCGATTGACACGTACCGACGATGATGGCCAGTGGCAAGTGACGTTGTGCCAAGTGAAACAACAGCACAGTTTCACGCGGACGTTTGATATTCTAATTCTCTGTCCTGGTCGACATTCACTGCCCTACTACTCAGAGATTCCATCACTGACCAGCAATTTTACCGGATCAGTCATACACTCCCACGACTATCGACGCAGGGAGTCGTACACTGGTCAGAGGGTGGCGCTGATAGGTGGTGGTCCCACTGGGTTTGACTTGGCCATTGAAGTGGGCTCCGTTGCTGCTGAAGTAGTTTTCATCAACCGAAGCATTTTTCAGTTTGAAAATCTTCCAGCAAATGTGCGCCAGCTAAATGGTGAAGTTGTACACTTTTCGGCTGATTCGATGAGTGTCAAGTTAAAGGATGACAGCATCTTAAAGTTTCCTGTCGATTCAGTCATTCTTGCAACTGGATACTTGTTCAATCTTTCGTACCTAGACCAGAAGTCAACTGCAATTCGATTAACAGCTGACAACACACTGGATGGTCTTTACCGACACATGGTCAACATTAAGTATCCGAGCATGGCGCTATTGGGCATCTGTCAGAAGGGAGTTTTACCCTTTCCAATGTATCATCAGCAGGTAACTAGGAAATAAAAAGTTGTGTGATATTTTTAAAGTACTTATCGTTTTTTAGGTTCTCTACTACAGGAAACTTTTGCTGGGCAAAATTGCTATTCCAACGATTGCTGAAATGAAGAAAGAGGTAGAGGATGACCTGTTGATGCGTGCTGCTGTTGGTTACCGACCAAAGGATCGACACTGCTTGAAGGTAGACCTGCTTATAGAGTACATTCGCCTTCTTGAACGTGATGCACAGCTTACGCCGTTGAAGGCAGTTGTGATGAAGCTGCACGCTGACCTTTATCCCATTCGATGCAAAAACATTTGCACATACAAGCATGTCGACTACCGAATACTGGACGATAAGACTTATGAAGAAGCGTGATTGTCACTAGCTACTTGATGATAAACACAAGATAAACAAATGTTAGGTACACTGTTTAATCGCTTTTTAATGTTTGCCAAAGAAGGCGCGCGCATGGGCAGTTTGACCAGTTAAGCCTTGGGCACTTCTTTGGCAGTTTCCTGAACGGTGCCCTTTGCGACTGCTGTCTTACTCACTGAATCGGTCTTTACCTCCTTACCTCCTCCTGCACTACTCATCGGCAGATTGGAGCTCGCCAACGGTTTGCTGTTAGCATTGGCACTCGACGAAATGGAAGAAGAGAGCAGGGTCTTCTCTTTGGCCTTCTTCTCCGCATCGGAGACGGTTTTGAATGTGAGGATCGGACGTGAGGTGCTTTTGGGGTTGTAGGCACTCCCAGTGCCGGAAATCAATGAGGTCGATCCACCATAGGCGGAGGGAGTAATCGTAGAGACTGTTGTCACGGAAACCCCTTGAGCCGGTCCCTTGGCCTTGACGCTGCGTTTGTGATTACTACCAATGAGCGACCTAGGCGTTCCCGAAGACATGGTACTGCCCGTGCTCATGTGACTGGCCGTTGACTTGATCTTGCGCACTTCCTGGCTTTCATCTCGGTTCACTGCGATTGAGGGCGGCAGTGGTACGATCGGTCCTGGTGACTTGCCCTTGTTTCCAGAACTACTGCTGCTGCTGTTGCTGCTGCTACTGCTGCTGATACTTTTGCTCATCAATGCTATGCCGCCGCCGGCGCCGCCACCGCCACCGCCACCACCCCTCTCAATGACTTCACTCTGGTCAAGTGAGCCCTTCTCCTCATCATCAAACCGACCATCGGTGGCACTCTTTATCCCCTTCACTCTAGAGGACCACATACTTGGAGTGCGCGAATGAGGCGAGTAGAGGCCATCGGCGTCGGGCGTCTGCAGGCCAGTATGTCGCATCTTCCTGAAATCACTCGAATAGTTCTTCTCCTCCTCATCCTTCTTCGAGTAGCATTTTTTGATGAAATGTACAGAGCAGCCGATGAGAGCTAGGAGGACAAGTATGCCAATGCCAGTGGCCGCCAGGTAGAGGGTCAGATCTCCGGCGGTGGCAGAGGCACCACTGCTCACTTCTGGTAGAACGGCAGATGGAGGTGGCGCCTCAGGTGGAAGGGACACATTCATCTGATCATCTGGCTCGGGCGCAGGCGCGTCATCTGATGACTTTCGTTTTGATGATTTTTCGCCCGAGCGGAGTTTGTCGTGTACTTTTGGCATGTTTTTGGTCAGAACGAAGATACACAAAAAAGAAAAGCGAACAATGAAATAGTTAAGCTTCACAGACTGAAACACACGACTAGTTGTGGGCTTCAGTAATAAAGAGTTGTTAAAGTTCTATTATTTATAGCAGCAGTTCTAATTGTCACGTCACTTAAATAGTTCCATTTTTACCATAATTTAATCAAACAAGTTTGTATTGTTTTTGGTCAAAAGCATTTATTGGCAGTAACAATTGTTGCTCATTGTACACTACAGTGAGTTGCATTTATGGTTCCTACTCAAGAACCTTCAAATGGTCATTAACTCTACTGGTTTTCAGTTGACCATGATTTCTTAGTGTCTTTCGTCATGTTAGACGAGTCTTTGCCACAAAGAATGTAGCCAAAGTGCGAGTAGTAGCAGTCGGCATCAACTCCTTTGTCGGCATCTTTCAGGTCAATCTTACGACTTGTGCGACTTTCTTTTTCTACCATCTCAAAGCCAGTCAATTCGAGGTGCGACAAACCAATGACCATGTCACAGTAGTCGTGAGTTTGCTCAGTGTCATAGTTGTGAGACAGCCTGACTCCCTTCTTCTCTGCCATTCGACTGACATATGCCGAGGGCAGGTCAATTGGGTAGAAGCTCAAGTCAAACACGTAAAAGACACAGGTGAAACGGTAAGGCTCGCGGTAGAGGGAGCGAACTTCTAAAATGACGTACTCTGTAACAGAAAAGTTGCCATAAGCACTTCCCACAGGCATCGGTCTCTGCAGTTTGATCGAGCGCATTTGCAGGCGCTCCAAGAACTTTGGAGAGACAAAACAGCCCATTCCTGAGGTGCAGTTGACGAAACACCGAGCAAATGCACTGGTTTGCGAGGAGACGGCCTTTACGGTGATGCTTGGGGCATACTTTAGAGGCTCATTGTCTGGACGACCAGCGCTCAGCAGATTCAAGTACAGCTCCCTTGGGTGGGTGAACTTAAAGCCTATCAGTTTGGGGTTTTCAACTGGCAACACTGGTTCAGTGACTGGCGGCGTCGCTGGGCTTTGACTGTCGGCTGCACTCTGGCACAACTTGAGCAACTTTAGGCGCACATTGAGCAACTCCATGTGTCTTTCAATGATTTTCGGTCGCAGTCCATCAGTCACAATGCTTTCATTTTCAGTTGCAAACTCTTCTAATCGCTCAATCATTTTGTTGATTGCCTGGTGCAGATTTGCGTCGTACACATTCACTTCACATTTGAGATAACTGCTTGTAAAGGAAAGCAGTCGGTGCACCACAGTCGATTCACCTGTAGAAACTGGCGTTCCGAGAATTCCGTTAGTGCCACCATTGACAACAACACTGGCGGCTTTGGTGAGTGCTTCGTCTGCACCATTAACAACTGGCGTCGGAGGTTTACTCACTGAAGGAGTTGATTTTGGTTTGTTGTTTCGATTTGTTTTTGGCATTTTTGTGAGTTTTGTGTGCGTTTTTTAAAGTGTAGCAATGTTAGGGTCTGTTGATAAAAAATAAAAAACACTACAAATAAAATTTAATAACGGTAAATCACAAAATGCTTACCAATTTGTCACTTCTACAAAGAGCCAAGTAACACGCGAAAAGGACACTGAAAAGAATTAGTGGTGACAGTGTTTTGGCTGGCGCAGTACAAGTCGTCTTCAATGTCTGTCTTCAATGGCAATAGGCCAAAGAGTTTTTTATAGCCAGCCTCTCTCATTCCTGTCTGCAACATCAACTTGTGCTTGCCGACAATTTTTGCCCTTGATTGCTATGACGGGTATTTGCTTACACAGACGCGGTCTGCATGCTGAAGTGCATTATCTGTTAATTTGTGGCTTTCCTTTCGCAACCTTACTATAGTAAACTCAAAAAGAAAAAACATTGATTTATCACTGATTAAGAAATTTGATCTAGAACGCACAATTTGCTCAGCAGTGGCAACTGGCTAAAGAATTAGGCTGATGGGCCAGCTAGTAGATTAGCTTTGATTGTTCATGACATGCGCATTTAGAAGATGTAACTGATAACACTGATGTACACTCATCGACAGCTCAAACAGTTTCGCTTTGGCGAATGAGTCATCGTGTATGTGAGACATTGGCCGAAACAGAATATCGTAGCGTGTGACAGACAATGTGCTGTGCTCAAGTGTAACTCAAAATTCTTTTACTAAAAACCCACTTCTAGAAGTTAAACTCAGAAACGAAAGTTCACTACCGGCAATAAGGAATGGCCGATCAAAGTAAGTGTACAGTTAGAATTTGTTTTTCTATTTTATAACATTTAACCATGATCCAGGAAAAGACAGGGATCCAACTTTTGAGGAGTTGATCGAACAGCTTGATCCTAGCGCTCAACCGGACGGTTTAAAGCTTTCTGATATTCCACAAATCAACACTTTCCACATCTACCGCAAGTTCGGCTATGGCGTTCATAAGTACAGCTATAAAATCGAACCTGCGCTTCAAGTTGACAATATGAATGCCAATTATCTTTTTCCGCTTTTTGAGGTTTCTCATGTTTTTGATCACCTCAAAGCGTTCCCAATTCTAGACGTTGAAGAATCTTCTCTCTACCTTCCAAAGAAAATTACCAACTTTACAATGAGCGGAATACGAAATCCATTTCCGGACAAGTACTCAGACAAAATTGATCTGACCATCATTTACCAGAAAGAAATTCCGGTTTCTGAGCAAGTCGGATTTCTCAACGATTTCTTTGATCGAACCCGCCAATGTTTTGATTCCCTAATTGCTCAATGCTTCCAAGCATCGAAGAAAGAAATTGACGTTCTTGACTACTGGCTCTCTTCATCACCCGGTGTGATTACTGAAGTTACAGAATTCAATGTCGACGAGAGTAATCAGCAAATTGATCTCCTTGTCAAAAGCGACATGTCTAATCTAATTGCCACTCAAAGCCACATGCTTGAGCTGATGAAAATCTTTTCGAGTTGCAATGAAAACTTTCTACATGCCGTCAAATCACACTTTATTGGAAGTGTGGTCAAAGTGATCTACGGCGACACCAACAAAGAGTACATGATTGGCGATATTGACGGAACGAAGAATCCCGATTCGTTGGTATTTGAAAGAGACGACATGACTTATGTGCAGTTTTTCGCTCGGGAATATAACATTCAGATAAAAGACCGCAGTCAGCCACTTCTAATCCACATTGAGTACGTTCCTGAGCAACGAAAGGTAAAGTAAAAGAATGTATTTATTTGTTTCAACATTTTTAACATTCTTCTCAACATTGTTTTTAGCACGTTCGCACTGAGCTCATTCCAGAACTGTGCCGCCTCAGCAAAATCCAAGAGTACAATGCTTTAGTTGATGTGGAAGCTAACAAGCCACTGGCGCCCATCATCCGCTATCAGAAACTAATGAAGTTTTTCGATATAATCTACCAATCCAACACAACGAAGCGTTCCCTGTCAGATTGGGGTTTTTCCATTGAGCGATCAGTGCACACTGTACTAGCTGACAATCTGCCGCCTGCCTGGAGTCACCTACTCCGAGGCTCGCTGCTCGATCCAGTCGACTTGAACAACAAGTGGTTCATCGTTTACCACAGCAATGACCGCTGGATCGTCGAAACCTTTCTTCGCCGCTGTCAGGAGTTTGCGCAGCGAATGTCCATCAAGATTGACACTCCGCGAAAGTACTCACTGAATCGCCAGGACACTGACTCCTACCTGAACGCAGTCAGAGAGAACATTAGCGAAGAGGATCGCATTGTGGTGATTGTGACGCCGGGAAGTCTTCAGATTCAGGATCGCTATGATGCCATCAAGCAGTACTGCACTGAAGTGCGTGGCATACCAACGCAGTTTGTGCGCTCTGTCACGCTGACACAGCCGAGCAAGATGGAGACCGTCAGTCCGAATATTCTGGTGCAGATGAACTGCAAAGCGGGCGGAGTGCCCTGGTCGGTGGACATGCCTCTACAGGGAGTCATGTACGTGGGCCTGGACGTTTACAAGGGCTTTCTGGTACAAAGTGACGACGAGCCACAACGACCCATCCTGGGCTGTGCCGCCTCGACCAATGCGCAGGGCACGCGTTGGTTCTCAAAGGTCGCCGAACAGCCGTTGAGTGGATTCTGCAATGAGAAGCTAGGCTGGCTTGTGAGAGATGCACTGTACCAGTACAAGAAAAACAACCGTGTCCTTCCCGGCAGTATTGTCATCTACCGAAAAGAGGGCAGCCTTAAGTGGTCAAAAATTGACCATTACGAGTGGCCTATTCTTATTGCTAATATTGAAGATGTCTACAAAAAAGACGCAGTGGCCAGAGGTGTTCAGGTAAGAGGGTGTAGAGGCAGAGTGACCTATTGTACTAACTTTGTTACCAATACTTTAGGATGACAAACTGGATGACAACAAGCCCTACGTTGTCTTTATGAGTGTCACCAGACGAATTTCACCCGGATTTTCCGTCGAAGGCGCAGGTAATTGGTTTGAAAATGACGACAGCCCGCCAATCACCAACAAGCAAGTGCTCGAGGCACTTAGAATGCGAAGTTCAAGAGATGATGAAGCTAAAGCTGCCGGTGACAGCAGCAGTGAGTACATTTCAGCAGATGATGAAGAGTTTGGTCAGCGCGTTTGCCATTCATTCTACCTCTGCTCGCCCAACACTGAGCTCAGCTGCATCTCCCCGGTTCTCGTGCGCGTTCTTCGCCAGTGGGGCACTCCCGCTGGTCTCAAAGAGGCCGATCCGGAGGGCGGCCCCAACCCCTCAGTCCTCAGCACAAAGTTTCTGCAGAGTCTCAGTGTTAAACTTTGCTATCTCTACTTCAATATTGCAGCCGTCTGCTATTTGCCATCGCCCATTTTGGTGAGTGTTTGACATTTTCATCTGCCAAGTTTGCTCTTTTCTAAAGTATCTTTTTTTTCTAAACAATAGTACGCTCAAAAGCTTGCATTCTTTGCCGGCAATCACCTAAAGAAGGAAGCCAACGAAGTTATGGAAGACAAACTCTACTTTTTGTAGACAGAAAATTGAAAAAGATACATGATTTCGATTTGCTACACCATTCTCATCTTGTTTTTAGTAATGCAAACAATAACTATTCGTTTTTCAAAAATATTTCAAACATATTAACGATTTTATAATTAAAAACACCAACTTATTTTTATTTTTATGAGCAATCCCTACAACCACTATAACTTGTTTATCATTAAACTTGATACAAAACTTTTTAAAGTTAGCTCATCATTATGATTTGGCTGAATTCACAAAACCACGTACAATAGCTGAAAATAGAAGCTCGAAATTTTGCCCTTTTTCAGTATAAAAATGAGCTGCAATTCACTGCAAAACCGTCATTCAGTTCGAGTTGTGCTTTGAGTTTACTGCTCTCTCCCATTTGTCCCTACTTGGTTTTAAAAAACTCACCACGTCAGCGTTTCTGAGAAACCGTTTCTGCTCAGTCAGTCAGTCACCACCAAGTTATGCCTTTGAAACGCAGCATCATGGCTGATCTGCCTGAGATTCCACCACAGAATGCCACTATTGACGCGTACATCACCGAGGTGAAGGACAAAATCGCTTGGGTTGAGGAGCAGCAGAGCAAGGGACTGCGCACCACTGACTACACACTGACCGACTTCAGTGAAACGAAGCGAGACCGCATGTGGAAGATGAAGCAAACCGGAGAGATGACCGACACCATCCTCATCACATCTGATGGACAGAGTGAGGTAAGTGCCCTGGCTTGCTGTGTTTATCACTCCATTTTACACAACTGTTTCTCTCGTTTTTTGACAGTTTGTACACATGGACATCATGCTGGAGCTCGGTGCAAAGGAGGTGTTCTTTGGCAAAGAAAAGGCCAGCAATGAGAGCAAGTTCGTGAAGGAGTACACAGTGAAGGAGGACATTTCGTCGGCCGTTCTCTCTAAAATGGTCCACTACGCCTACCTGGAGAAGTGCCAGCTGGAGGAGGAGCCCGCCTCTCTGGTGATAGCCCTCAGCAAGACTGCCTTCAAGTACGGACTGAACAGTCTGCTGAAGTACTGCATTGCCCACATGATGAAGAACTGCTCGCCGCCCATTGCCTACTTTGCCTACGAACTTACGCTGACGTACAATAGGAGCAGCAGCAAGGGCAGCAGCTATGCCTCCTCATCACTACTCACTATCGACAGCAAAGCAGCTCAAACTTTCTTCCAAAAGTTCATTGAGGATCATTTTGAAGAGGTAAGTCAGATTGCTGTTTCTATTGCCTGGTAACTGACTCTTTAACTCACCACCACTACACAGCTGTACAACAGTCCCCAGAAGGAGGACCTCCTGCGCCTGAGCTTTCCACTGCTGAACACCGTTCTCCGCTGGAACAAACTGAACGTCCGCTCTGAGGAGACCGTCTGGAGGGTGATCCACGACTGGGTCACCTACCAGCCGACCACCCGTCTGCCCTACCTGAACGCCCTGCTCACCAGTGGCTGTCTCCGTCTGGGCCGCCTCAGCAGCGCTTTCCTCGAGCAGTCCGTTCTGGGCGGCGATCTCTTTCGAGCGCAGGACGAGCGCAGCCAAGCTCATGGACGAGCCGCTGTAAAAGCCGTCCTGGACTGTGCCCATCAGTACGCTGCTCTGATCTTCAAGGACGGTCATGGGCTGCAGTATTCCAAGGCCCTGACCGCCTTTCGCCCTCGAGCCACCCGTCAGCTGTTGATGGTGGCCGGCGGATGGGTGGACGGGAAGACTAGCTCTCTGATCGAAGTGTTCGACCACCAGTCGAACCTTTGGCTCAACGTGCCACTGCATCTCAGCCATGCCGTCTCCTACTTTGGCTTGGAGATGGTCGGCACGGTCATCTACGTCTTTGGCGGCTCCAACGGACGGGAGATCTTCCGCACGATGTGTGCCTGCGATGTTGGCGAACCGATGAGAGCTAGAACTGCAGGATCCAGAAACGCCCGAGTGGGCCAGTGGGAGCGCAAGGCGGACATGCTCGAGCGCCGCTGCTACGTCTCCAGCACCGTCCTCGATGGACGCGTCTACGCCATTGGCGGCTTCAACCAACAGGATCGAGTGAAGAAGTGTGAGCGGTAAGTGGTGCTGCTGAAAAAGGGTAACATGGCACACTGACCAACTAACTCCTCTCTCTCTCTCTTTCTCTCATTATTCAGCTACGATCCGACTACCGACCAGTGGACCGCTATCGCCGACTTGAACTATTCGCGCTCTGACGCAACTGCCGTTTCCCACGGGGGCCGCATCTACGTCGCCGGCGGCATCAATGACAACACCATCGAGTCCTCGGTGGAGGTGTACTGCCCGGTGGGCGACCGCTGGCAGCTGGTGAAGGCGATGGCCTCTCCGCGCACCAGCTTCAGTCTCGCCTCCTTCGATGGTCGCATCTGGGCGATGGGCGGCAATGACGGGGAGCAGCGTGGGGGCAGCTGCGAATCGTTCGATCCGCTGACGGGCGTCTGGCGGGCGGAGGCGCCGTTGGTGAACGGACGGAGCACCTTCAAGGCGATCACCTTCATGGGCGAGCTGTACGCCATCGGCGGCTACAATGGCCAGTCGCCCATCAGCACTGTGGAGAAGTACTCGCCTGGGTCGGGCCACTGGCGCGTGGTGCGCCACCTGCGCCACGACCGCAGCGGCATGGCGCTGCTCGTTCTGCCAAATGACTTTCTGCCCCTCAAGATCTGATGCCGATTGGGCTGACTACAAAAATGCAGGCAAACAGGCTCATTTCCACTTTTTCACTTGCCGGGCCTTGCAGTTTTCCAGTTTTCTCCTCACTTTCTTTGTCCTCACTTTACTTGTAAGTTTTTTTTAAAATGTGTTTAACTGCTACAGTTTGTCAGTATTGACAGCATTTGGAAGTTGTCTGAACAAATCGGTGACTGGAGGCACTTTGCCAAAGTCAGGCAAAACACAAGCGGTTGATCTTACGCAGTTTATTATTGGGCGATTTACAGTTGGTACAGAATCTCGTTAATACAGGTAGAAAGGTGTTAGTCGCAATCTGATGAAGGAACAGGTCACGGATCACTCTACCAGGTAGAGTGGAGTTGGAGGCATCTTCATCATCTCTCGGTGGTACTCTCAGTAGCTCATCTCCAACTAACCAGCCACTAGCGGTGGCAGCCCCCTTTATACTGTTCTCTTGGTGACATACTCATCACTTCAGTTCGTCGGCACTCTTCGGCATGTCAGCAATGTCCGCTCAAGGTCCGGTGCGCCACTTTTCCGCTGGCTGACTCTTGGTTAAGGAATCTCTCGTTCAACAGAAGTTTTGTGGTATTTTAAGCAAATGGTCATGAGCTGGAATACTAGGTGGCGCCTGCAGCTGTTTTTCCTTTTGAAAATTCCCACTCAAAAGTTCAACTTTGAGCTAAAAACTTAATTAGATGATGCAGCAAACTTGATTACATTTTTTGTTCTATGTCAAATACTTTAAAATTTTGTTAAGAAAAGCAAAACATCTGCAAAAGTGAAATCTATGATCGTTAATCAGCCTCATCAACTTTGCATCTCTTGTTGACAGGAAACAATGGCCGACATCAGGTAAAAGAGCACCTTGCAAGTTGCTACTAATTGAAATTCAATTTGACGTTGCAAAAAGTGCTTTTTCAATTGTTTTCTCCGTTGATTGATCGCACTAATCAATTGATGCTCTTATTATTAGGTGTGATGATTGATGGCGAAAATTCCTCTTCTTATCATCAGGCAAACGGTTCACAGTGTGCTTTTTGTGAGATTCCCATTTGCCAAAAAGATGTGTGATGCCAATGTTTGTTTGTTTGTCTAGCACAATAGGAAGAGTGATAGTGCCCAAGTGATAAGACTAATAGCCGTCAGTCCACCATGACTGTAGCCGTTTCTCTGATGAGAAGCCTTTTTTCAAGATGAACTACAGGGGCGGGAGATCGATCAATCGATCGATGTCGAGCGCCTCTCCTCTTGATAACCGTTTGTCCATTTGAATGTGGCTGCTGTTGCAGTGGCCGTCATCCGGACTGGTTTAGCGTAGAGTGACCGGCCGCCTAATTAGATCTCAGTAGCAGTCACTGATCTACACTGGGCTTTGGGTAGTGCTCATTGCCAAGAGGGGGGCAAAGGAGTGCTGTGTTGTGGTCACCAGGTGACCATCGTCATTTTATTGACCGTACTCCGCTTTGATACCCGCTGATGATGCTGCTGCTGCTGCCGCCGTTAGCACAATTGCGACAGGCAATCTACCTGCCGAAAGTCATCTTCTTTTCTCTCCCTACTCTCTCCACTGCACTTTGCTCTTCACTCGATTCCATTCACGAGTCGGCTATTTACCGAGTCAGCTGTTCTGCTCCCTAATTAGCAACATCGATTGACCGCAAAAGCTGTCCTCTGTGTTCCTGCACTACAATTGAAACTGCCTCAATTTGCATGCACACTGAAAAAGAGACTCTCTCTCTCTCTCTCTCTCTCTCTCTCTCTCTCTCTCTCTCTCTCTCTCTTTCTATTTCTTTAGCCTGTCGATCGACACTGACACACACACTGGTCACAACTTCTGCGTGCAATTGCCATCAGATCAGATTGCCTGCCTGACGGGCAGAATGGATGATGTGGTACTGCTATTGCACTATTACTTAAACAGTTAGGATGTCAGTGCAGTAGAGAGTGGTAATCTTTCTAAAAACAATCTCTGAAAAAAAGGTAAAAAGCTAGTTGTTCAATGCTGCACCTTCAATTCTGCAAATTCAAGACTTTTCAACGGTGTTTTAGAAAGCAATCGATGTGCACTGTCGAGTGACACCTGTCAGTGCAGTCTGCAATTTCCGCCGGGCGCCGGTGATCCACTGGTAACTGCCACTGACTGGTGGCATGAGCTCTACTGCTGAAGTACTTACCTCAGTGACACACTGCATTAAGAGTCAGTACGTCAGCTGAAACGGGCTAATTGATTGCTGATTTGTCATTGTTGCCTTTGTTTACACTTTGACTCTTTGTCTCTCTCTCTCTCTCTCTCTTTCTCTGCCTTCTTTAGCTGCTGCCAAAGCCGACTCGATTCTGCCGGCAAAAGTCGACTTTTGTTTTTCTCAATTGTCACTTTTTTCAGTGCCTTCTTGCCGACTGTCTTGCCGCCGTTTTCATTCGTTCAAGAGAAGTTCTCTTTTTTGTCAAAAAAGAAGCAAAGAGAAAAACATTCACTTGAAAGAGAAGTAGAAGAAGAAGAAGAGGTGGCCCACGAGGTGAGCATGAGAGAAAAACAGAGTGGCAAGTGCTGAAGACTGCCGTTAGTGAAGAGCAGCCATTCGACAATAGTGCTTCAGCAAGTGGCCGTCTTGGCGCCATCGAAATTGAGGCCACTCTGAACAGCAGCATTCTCTCTTTCTTTCTTACTGTTTTTCTCTATGCCGCCGACCGACTGACTGACTGACACATGTAAACCGTTGTTGGCTCGAGGTACTGCTCGCAACTGCAGACCACCATTCACTCACTACTACTGCTCACTTGGCTCACCTGAACATCGATCCAACAGCAGCAGCAGCAACGGGCCTGTTTTGTCTCTTCGTCTGCTCTTCGTCGGCCATTTACAGTTAGATCAGCGAGCCGACTGACTGAAGACGGACGCTCGTGCCGCACGCCGACTGCCTAGCTGTGCGCCATCTTCACGTTGTCTTTCATTCACCGATTGTTCGACCACCACCATCATCACCACTCTGTTCATTCATTGAAAGGGTCTTCGGCAACGCCGTACAACGCCGGTTTGCAGCTGATTGCCTTCTTTTTGCCTCTTCTTCTCTTCGCCAACATCAACCAGATGCGTGGGTTTTTTANTTCGTGCCGCACGCCGACTGCCTAGCTGTGCGCCATATTCACGTCGTCTTTCATTCACCGATTGTTCGACCACCACCATCATCACCACTCTGTTAAGTCATTGAAAGGGTNCGCCAACATCAACCAGATGCGTGGGTTTTTTATTTCTTTATGAAACCATCTTCAGCACCGTCGTCAGCCATCGGCCGAAAGTGCAAAGTGTCAAGTCGTTATGCGGCTTGAGTGTGATTGGTGATTAGTGGGCAAAATGATGGTCATCATTCTCCGGTGAAGGTGTTTGTGTTTGTGTCTCTCTGTCTGCCAGCCCACCCACTATCATCACTACTGCTCTGATCTTTTGTAGGCTTTTTGCCGCCTTTTCATCTTTTGCTTTTTTTATTGTCGAAGCTTAATGCGTTCAACGTTCGATTAAGGTAGCTCTCATCATCAGCAGCAGTATCTGTTTTTTAAGTTGTCCACAGCATCTCTGAAGTTGAAGTTTGTGTACGTTTTTGTGTGAATGTGTGCCGTTTGCTACATGCCGCGAAATGGCCGATAAATAACTACAGCGAAAAACAGGGAAGAAACTGTGGTTGATTTCGTCGTCGATGTAATCATCACCGAGTCATCCCTCCCATCAATTCACAATGTCCTTGTGGCCTTTATGCTCTGTGATTCCTCTGCCAACAGTAGCAGCACTCGGCTCTAACAAAAAGTGTCCTTCTTCATCATCCTCATCTGCCGATGACCATAATTATCAGCTCTGCTCACTGAGCGCCCATTGCTGTAGTCCTGGTGCTGCTGTTCCAGAAGCTGATGCACAGAAATATCAGCCGGCCCAAATTCACTGCCGTTCACATTGCACTACTGATGATCCAGGCGACTGCAAACGACTGCATTCACACCGGTCGCACACTCGCTCACAACTGTCTTCTGCGACATGTGACCACAGTTTGAGAGTGGTCAGCAACGTTCATCGAAAATCGCAGTGCAAGAGGCAGCAATTCTTTAATCGAGAAGAGGCTTCTTGTTTACCATTATCATCAGAACAACAACAACCGCCACCACCATCACCACCTTCACCTCCTCTCTACCGAGTGTCGCCCAGTTATGTTAAATCACAACAGCACTACTCCGGCGGCTCAACGATGACAGACGACACTTCTCTACCACGTTTCTCTGCACATTGGCGCCGACGAGCGCACACAAGTCAAAGTGCACACTCTTTTACAAAGCACCTCAGCCGCAGTCTGCTTTACTATGTCTGCATTCTGGTCATCACTTTCAGCACCATTCACACCTCAAATGGACAACAGTCTGGTGGTGGTAAGTCTTTCCACACGAGTTACACACACAAATCCAATACTTACTACTTCACCTCTGCAAATTGACGGCGACTCGATAAGAAAGAAAGCGGCTAGCAATTTATGTGCAGGCGTTTCAGAGCAGCAGTAGCAATCATGCAGCGGTAATAGTGAATAAAAAAGGGGATATCAAGTAGCGGCGACATTGTGGATCAGTGATAGTGGATCAGTAGTAGCCAAGGAAAATCGTAAAACTGTGCGTTAAGCTCACCCAAGACTGTTCCGCCCTCTCTTTCACTGTTTTCATCTGCTGGGCGTCGGAAGGAACACTGCTCGGGCACTGTTTAAATGCAGAGGCTACTGCCGCTAGCGAGAATTGTGTCGATCTGTCTGTCTGACTGTCGTTCTTTCCTGAACACTGCGAGCTAATTGCTAAACTCGATTATGACAGTGTGAGATGACGATAGTAGTGATAATGGCCAGCAGTACAGAGATGACGGCAGAAGGAGATACACAAACCGGACAACAACAACAACAACGCAGACTGTCCACAAAGACCTGTTGCTGCTGGTGGTGGTGGTCACCGTTGTGTCCGGCATAACT